CGGCGTGGTATTGCCGAATGCCCCGGCGGCAACAACCAACTGCCTCCCACCGGCCTAGGGCCACGAGTTCCTCCAGCACGCAACTCAGGCCCAAACAAATATTCTTCCACCGCCATCTTCGAGTCTCTCGCACCACGACAGAATTTATAGGAGTGCCCTAGCATGCCACAAAAATAGCAGTACGTATGTAATCGTTTGTACTTGAACGTGACCCAGCAGTTTGTTTTATCCCGCTTAATAAAATTCATTCGTCTTTTCAAGGGCTTATCAACAGCTAGCGAAACCCTAATACGATAAAACACCTTCCATGGAACATTTTCAAAACAATCATCGCTCTTTACAAATTTCCCCATGAAATTCCCAATCTGTTCCAGTATTCGGCCGGACGAATAACCTCTTGGTAATCCATGTAGTTGTACCCATAAATCCACCGTGTCCAACACCACATCCGCCGGCATCACTCCCTCGGGGACTTGCTTACACACAAGGGTGCTATTATCGAAGGACCAATGCCCCTCGTTTAGAACCCGTTCCATGTCTGTGACGTGGTGGAAGACGAACAAGAACCGGCCAGGCTCCACCTCCGTTGGTTCAACTCCACTCACCGGTTGCCACACCGACGCCATGACCTGACTCATGAACTCAAACCTGACTAGCTTCCGTGTCAAGAAATGGCCTACAACTCCCAAGCTCTCCTCTTCGGCAACCGGCGTCGCACCCTCTTCTTCCGCTTCGGCCGCCGGCATGAACGTCGTGGCCTCCTCCTCCAAAACCATGTCTGCCCATCTTTCGGTGAGCCGTGCAACCCCCGGGATGTCCGTTGTCGACGCCATACATGCAAGCAGCGGAAGCAAAACTGTTCGGCCAACCGGAAAAACTTCCGTGAGAAAAAGTCGATGGATCGACGGGAAGACCTAGAAACCCTAGGTAGAGAGCATTCGATAATGTGTTATAGTCAATGTAGTTTAAAAGTCATCGTATTCAAATTGCGTAGGAAGTGAATTTACTAATACTAATACACAATATCCAGCATATATCATATATCTGGATTGTCCCAGAAGAGAGCGGGTCACGATTCAATCCTTAATTCTGAGCTTTCTATATGTGCGATTTTGTAATTTTTTATATAGATATAGATTATTATTATTATTATAATATATATATATATATATATATATATATATATATTATGGTTTTTATTATATTACCAATTACCAATTAAAATTAGGGTTTTTATTATACTTGAACAATAAAATTACCAATTATACTATAGAATATAATACCATACATAATATTACCAATTATGCAACATTACTCGTTAATAGATTTTAGTTAATTTTCATTTTACATTTGCTTACCAAATAAGCTTTATTAATTATTTGACCAATAAAATATTTAACTAATTGACTACAAAAGTTTCGGCAGAAAAATGAAATAGGAGAATTTTGCTTTTATATTATATATATATATATATATATATATATATATATATATATATATATATAAGATAGATTAAAGTTAAGGTTTTTATTATACTTGAACAATAATATTACCAATTATATTATAGAATATAATACCATACATAATATTACCAATTAATAGATTAATAGATTTTAGTTAATTTCCATTTTACATTTGCTTACCAAATAAGTTTTATTAATTATTTGATTAATAAAATATTTAACTAATTGATTACAAAAGTTTCGGTGGGAAAATGAAATAGGAGACTTTTACTTTTATATATGGAATAAGGGTCAAATAGGTCATCCAACTGCACACAATAATTCAATTAGGCCACTGAACCTAAAAAGCCAACAATTGAGTCCCTAAACTAACCAATTTCAAACAATTCTTTCAATTTGAAGGTTTCCAACAGATCAACAGGTCATCCTTCCAAATAAATTATTTTTTAAAAAATAAATTTTTAAAATTAATAATTAAATTTATCAAAAAAATTAATTAAAAAAAAAAAAAAAAAAAATAGGACCTGCCAGAGACGACCGTCTCCGGCCAGTTTCTTCGTCTCCACTGCCAGAGACAAAGAAACTCTTCGTCTCCGGCCATGGAGACGAAGAGTTTCTTCTTCTCCATGGCTGGAGACCTATGGAGAAGAAGAAACTCTTCGTCTCCCTGGCCGGAGATGAAGAAACTCTTCGTCTCCATGGCCGGAGATGAAGAAACTCTTCGTCTCCGGCAGTGGAGATGAAGGGTTTCTTCGTCTCCGGCCATGGAGACGAAGAAACTGGCCGGAGATGGTTGTCTCCGGCCGGAGTCTGTTTTTTTTTTTTTTTTTTTAATATAAAAATAATTATGTTTTAAAATTTATTTTTTTAAAAATAATTAATTTGAGAGGATGACCTGTTGACTTGTTGGAAACCTTGAAATTGAAATAATTGTTTAAAATTAGTTAGTTTAGGGACCTAATTGTTGGTTTTTTTGGTTCAGTGACCTAATCGCATTATTGTGCGCAGTTGGATGGCCTATTTGACCCTTATTCCATTATATATTATATAGATAGATATAGATAGATTTTAGCATAGCTTAATAGTTCTATTGCTTCAGGAGTTAAAATTGTAACTTTTTTTAAGAGTTAAACGAGTATATTGTAACGATAAAAATTTATACACTAAAATGACTAGAAAGGAACAACTGAGATACTAAAAAAGCATTTTCCCTAAACATTAATTCAACTAGTTAAGTTGATTATTAAACCAATCATAATGAAATATTGGATTAACTATAAATTATTCTAAAAAATTCACTCACGTTATTAATCCAAGAAGTGAAATTTTATTTAAAACTTATTCCCAAAAATTCAGTCACGATATTAATTCAAAGAGTGTAACACGTTTTTAATAAAGTGAAATCCATTAAAGAAATTGAAATGTTCTTAGTTTCTTCCTCAATCATCATCATGTTGCTCTTGAGATATTTTTATTAGTTTCTTCCCCAGTCATCACGTTGGTCTAGGAAATTTTTATTCAAAAATTCAATCAAAATATTAATCCAAAGCGTGAACATATTCTTAGGAGGTATGGAATTCACTCAAGATGTGTGATAGTGATAGTGATACATTAAAGACATGTGACATTCTTAGTTTCTTCCGATCCCTATCACACATGTTGGTCTACAATGTTTCTTCCACAATCATCATGTTGGTTTAGGATATTTTTAAGAAAATACTACATCAACATCCACTTTTTAGTCCCAACTTCTACTCCATCTTATAAATTCTTGATGTAGACATTTTTCTTGGAACCCACATAATGAATATATATTGAAATTTATTATGTGAATTTCCAAATTCTACTTTCATTTTTTTTTTTTTAATTCTACTTTCAAATTCTACTCTCTCAAATTTCTGATGTAGTTAGGACCCACCTGATAAAAGTAACATATCATTATTTGTCATATCAAGGAGTAAAAGTGAAGGAGTAGGATTTGGGAGTACTTATAATAAAATTAAAATATCTTATCTTTGATTGTCATATCATGAAATAAAAGTAAGGGAGTAGAATTTGAGAATACATATAGTAGAACTCATATTTTTATTAGTTTCTTCTCCAAGCATCATGTTAGTATGGGAAAATTTTGACATGTGTTTTCTTCCCCAATTATCATGTTGGTCTGGGATATACGTAAAAATTACATCACGTGAGAAATGATAAATACTATACAATCCATCAATGATCATGTGGTCTAGTGATATAACTCTCACAAATGGGAAGTTATAAATTTGAGTCCCAGTAAAAGCGGTAATTTGAGAAAGTAACTATGAACAGATACTACATCATAACCACTGGCAGACTTAGTGTGAGGGCAGTGGACCACATATATATCCTATATATATTATATATATTAAAATTTAACTAAAAGCTAGTTCTGCTTAGATGGCAAAATTCCAATCCCATGTATTGTGTAATAGACTAGATAGCTTGAGTTTGAACCCTATAGTTTTTATTTTTTGCTGGGCTTCTTTTTTGTTTTCATTTTCTTTTTTGTCATTTTTTAATATTAATAATTAATAATGAGAATTCTAATTGAATTTTTTATTTGTATCATTGAGACTTCTTCTCTTTTTTTCTTTTTTTATTTTTTATTTTTTTTAATATTAATAGTAAGATGAGTGATTATTTATAATGTGTTTTTCATTCAAATTATTTTATCTAATTAATTATGTTTTATATTTTGTTTTAAATATTTTTTTGTCTTGATATATTTTGATTTTTTATCTCTAGTCAACAATATTTATGACTGGGGCTTCTTTTTTATTTTTATTTTCTTTTTTGTCATTTTTTAATATTAATAATGAGAATTCTAATTGAATTTTTTATTTATATCATTGAGACTTCTTCTCTTTTTTTATTTTTATTTTTTATTTTTTTTTAATATTAATAGTAAGATGAGGGATTATTTATAATGTGTTTTTCATTCAAATTATTTTATCTAATTAATTATGTTTTATATTTTATTTTAAATATTTTTTTGTCTTGATATATTTTGATTTTTTATCTCTACTCAATAATATTTATGACTGGGTCTCTAAGTGTTTCATTTTTAAAAAATATATTTCATTATGTTTAATTTTTCGCTCCCATTGAAGAAGATTTCTAGGTCTGCCACTGATCATAATAATGTCAGTAGTACTCAAAAAAAAAAAAAATTACGCAATTCAAATTTTTAAAAATGTTGAATTATATTTACATTAGTACAAATTCACATCCCTTTCCAGTAAATTACAAATGCTGCTCAAAAGTCAAAAGTGATTACAATTTCCATGTATAGTTTGAGAATTTATTTCTAATTTACTCATTATCCATTTATAATGTATAATATATCAAATTTATCATCTTAATTTAAAAAATTTAAATCTATTTTGACCCAACTCAAACTAGAAATGAATATCACTCAAAATTATACTTCAAAATATCACTTTACCAAATTGAGCTAATTTTCCCAACACATAATATACGGTATACCACTTCTTAGGACTATATTAAAATTCCCAAGAGATCAATGCCTGCTACTATTCTTAAACTGGTAAACACCCATCGTTTGTTGCCCCCAGCCTTCAAGGATTGCTCTGTGTTAAGGTAAGTTTCCGTATGTACAGCTTCTTATGTAGCACGATTCTGTGCATGCATAACACCGACCCGGTTGTTTTTCTGCTTTCCAATATGTTATTTGAGGAAAAAGATTTGAACTTTATGCTTAATTTCATTCTTTCTGGCTCTTACTTAGGATGAAGATGAGCGTTTTGTTAATCTATCATGTTTTTTTGTTCTTTCATGCTTATGCTTGAAGGTTTTGTTGTTATTTGTTTGACATAAGTTAATGTTTTGTTTGATTTAGCTGACAATTTGACATAGGCAAGAGTTTGGGTTTCTGGATTGTGAAATTTGGGCTCTGAGGAATTGGGGAATGAGATTCTGAGGAAGATTAGGGTTCTTGATTCTTGAAGACTAGAGGGCCATGGATAGGGGACCATATGAGACCACATCCCAATTTAACTTTGAGGATGAAACCCCACCAATCTTTCCTAATCCAAATCTGGTTAACTGGCAAAATTTAGGGGTTGAAGGTCTATCCACTTTCTCTTATCCAACTTCGATGGCGAATGAGGGAGTTTGTGAGACATTGGTGGATCGGAACGAAGAAATGGGAAATCTAAATAATGAAGAAGCCCCAGTGCCTCAATCTGGTCAGAGGTTAAATGTAGTAAACTTATTGAATGAAGACGGTGGATATGAAGATTATGATCTTAGGGATCAAATGCTTAAGTGGATTAATCAGATGCTAATGGAAGATAACGTGGAAAAGCAGGCCTACATGTTTCGACAGTCTGCTGCCCTTAAAGATGCAGAAAGATCATTTTACGAGCTTATTGGGGAGGAGTACCCGCCATCCCCGAATCTTCACAGAGTTCCTGATTTGGATCGAAATGAAAACTATGGTGATAGCAGTTATTATGGATCGGGAGACAATGGTAACGATGATTCATTATGTCCTAACTGGGATTCCAATCCCCGTGACCATGTTCCTGTCGGTGTTGCTTCGAGTACTACTTCTCAGTCATCCTCATCGCTTGGCCAAGGCACCGTAAATGATGGGACTGTGGACTTTGCTACGAGTACAATTACAATTCCTGATATATCCAATTGTATTGAATCTGTTGAGAAAGGAGTTAGGGAAGCGAGTTCGTTCCTTCCTACTCGCAATAGCTTGCTCGTTGATGGAGTTGGGGTGGAGAAGAATACCGGGAATCAGGACTTGCTTGAAGGGCGAAGAGGAAAGAAAAATATGTTTCGTGAAGATATGCATTTGGCCGAAGAGAGATGTTACAAGCAATCAGCAATTTATGTTGAACCAAGCGTTAAACAAGAAGAGTTTGACGAGGTGTTATTATGCAGTGAAGAGGACGAATCCAATCTTTGTCATTCCTTGCGGAGTGTTTCGTGTGATTCGAAGGGTTCTAATAGGAAGAAATCGAGTGGATCTAAACGAGCTGTGGTAGACTTTCGATCTCTCTTGACGCTTTGTGCACAAGCTGTAGCTGTCGAGGACATAAGGACTGCCAACGATTATTTGAAGCATATCAGACAACATTCGTCTCAAACCGGAGACGATATGCAGAGGCTGGCGCATTATTTTGCTGACGCTCTAGAGGCAAGGATAGCGGGATCCGGGACGAGAATATATAAAGCACTGGTGAAATATCCTAGGTATGCTGCTAGGGCTTTGAAAGCTTTCCACCTCTATCTTTCTTCTTGTCCATTTAGGAAGATCGCTAATATGTTCTCGAACAAGACCATCACAACTCTAGCCCAGAACGCTTCATCACTGCACATTATCGATTTTGGGATTGGTACTCTTTTCGGCTTTCAATGGCCTTGCTTAATACAACATCTCTCATCTAGGCCCGGTGGACCTCCCAAGCTTCGTATAACCGGGATTGATTTTCCACAGTCAGGTTTCCGGCCAGCAGAGAGGGCTGAGGGGACAGGGCGACTTTTAACTTATTATGCTCAGAAGTTCAATGTTCCATTCGAGTTTAATGCTATAGCAAAGAAGTGGGAAACAATTACAGTCGAGGATCTGAAGATCATTGAGGGCGAGGTGCTCGTAGTGAACTGTCTGTATCGACTTAGGAACCTTCTCGACGATACAGTGGTTGTAAACAGCCTCAGTCCGAGGGATACTGTTCTGAAACTAATCCACGATGTCCATCCAGATGTTTTCATACACGGGATTCTCAACAGTGCTTGTAACGCCCCCTTCTTTACATCTAGATTTCGGGCAGCTCTTTCTCATTACTCAGCTGTGTTCGATATGCTTGAGGCCACTATTCCCCGCGAAGTTCATGAGAGGATGCTGATCGAGAGCTACATATTTGGTCAGCAAGCCATGAACGCGATTGCATGTGAAGACACTGAGAGGGTCGAGAGGCCAGAAACGTACAAGATGTGGCAGGCCCGGAACACGAGGGCTGGATTCCTTCAGCTTCCTTTGAACCGGGAGATCGTGAAGATGTCGATGCATATGTTGAAGTTATACCACAAGGAGTTCGTGATCGATGAAGATGGACACTGGCTGCTTCTGGGATGGAAGGGACGCGCCTTATTTGCGCTTTCATCATGGAAACCAGCTTAGTTAATTGACTTAGTTCAGATTACTCGACCTCTAGCAGACTTAACTCTCCTTCTTGGCTTCTAATCCCCTTGTTTGTGACCAGGGAAACCCGCAGTCACTATGCGAGGGTGTGTACTGGGTAACCCCCCTTGTGATGCTTTTACTGATTGCATGGCATGGCGAGTTCGACAATGTTAGAATTTGCTAATGGTTTTGACATCCATGTTCCTGGAATTCTTGACTGGTTTTTATGTCCGAGTGAACCTTAAAACTGGTTTTTCTCCTCAAGATTTGAGTGGAATGTGAATGCATTCATTGTGAGTGGAAAGCATTCATATTGTGTCTATGTGAATGCAGCCACTCCAATTGTATCTGTGGAGGTGTTTGGTAAATAGCCGTTAGCTAATTGAGTTAGTGAGTTTAATGAGTTGATAGTATTAGTTGATTGTAGAAAGATGTTCGGTAAATTAGTTGTTAGCTAATAGCTGATTTCGTACAAAATGACTTTCTCAAAAAGCTTTTGAATTTTAGTGTTTTGAAGCAATAAATTATTACAATTGTGTGGTGTTTATTTTTTCATACTACGAATTTTTTTAGTCCAGTTACAAAAAGAGAGGAAGGAGAGAAAAGTAAAAAAAAAAAAAAAAAAAAAGTACTCAGGATAGTCGCCAATTGGTGGTCACCTTATAAGTTTATTCACTTACGTCAAACTAATACTAAACTTGAAGGTAAATCGCAAATCATCCTGTCAGTTCTCAAGTTCCCACTCTTATATATAATTTTATTTTATACACTATGATGTAGAAGAGGTTTTCATCATCTCTAACCGGTCAATGTAGGTCTTCATATCTCTAATTGGTCAACGTCTTTCAATAACCCTCCAGGCTCTCAGTGAAATTCAAACCCTCCATTGTCATTGGAACAAGATTTTAGAGTGATCGATCGAATTAATTGAACTAGCCCACAACCATCTAGATTCCAAGTAAAATTCAAACTCCTAATTGTTGGAATGAGGCTTTAGAGTGATTAGTTGAGCAAATCAAACTAACATAACTTATATTTTACCAATGACCTTGTAGTCTAGTGACATGAAGTGGCTCTTAAGAAACAACAACCTGACTTATTTTTAAAAAAATTTGGAATGATGTAAAAATAAATAAAAATCACATTCGGACAACATATTCAATTTTCTCACTCAGTCACTCCTATACTCTCTCACGGCTCACCCTCCAAGTCTCCAACTCACCCAAAAGGTTTTTTTTTAAAAAAAAAAGAAACTCACAATAAACCCCTATTTGAAAATTGAAACTCTTAAAACTCTTATTCAATAGTTCACTTAACTTGATTGATAGTTTGATAGAGAGGAGGAAGACGATGGGCGGAGCAGGAACACCAGATTTTTTCTACAGGGAAGCTCAGCGCCTGGGTTATGTTGCTCGCTCTGCCTTCAAGGTCTGTTGTACAACGCTATAACCTTTTTTTTTTTTTTTTTTTTAATTTCAAAATAATTTCTTTGGTGTCAGAGCAGTTGTTACAGATGCAGAAGCAGTATAAACTGATAACCCCTGGTTCCTCTGTTCTTGATCTAGGTTGTGCTCCTGGTGCCTGGCTTCAGGTGTGTGTATCTATCAATGTATTGTATCAATTTTTCCATAAAAATTCTGTCTTTTTTTTTTTTTTTTTTTTTTTTTTTTTGTTGTAATTTGATTGAATTTACAGTTGCCTTGATTGACCCCATTTGTAATGCAGGTGGCATGCCAGAGTTTGGGTCCATTGAAAAATAATGGAGCTGTTGTTGGAATTGATCTCAAGGTTTGTTTCCGAGAAAATCTGAATATTCCAATTGGATAACTAGGGTTTTGGTTCTATCAATCAATCTGTTACATTATAGGGAAATGATATAGTATGTTGTGTTTATTAACACTTTGAGAGTTATCTGGAAAATTATGATATGATGCAGAGCAGAAGGTAAAGGTGCCAGCTATGCACTGTGATTCGAGGGTTCAAACTGTTTGTGCAGATGTTATGAAACTAGCGAGGGACCAAATTAGGGAGCTTTCTCCTCAGGTATAGACGTATGGTTGTTGGAACATTTTAGTATATTACCGAGGATTTGTTGTTAGGTTTTGTTTTGTTTTGGCCTTCTTTTACATGGTTATGCACAGTATGCTGCTTGATAAGTGGAACCCTGTTGTGTAGCGAAGTGAGAATTCATTGAAATGTAGATTGGCTAAAATAGTTACAATAAAGAAGCCTTCACCTGTTTCATTTTGGCCTTCTTTTACTTGGTTATGCAGTACACTGCTTGATAAGCTGAATCTGTTGTGTAGCAAAGTGAGAATTCATCGAAACGTAGATTGGCTAATTCTTTCTTCCTGCTCTTATCCACATGACTGTGAAGGTGCCTCTTTTAGTTTAAAATCAACCAAATCACTTGGCTAGATATAACATTTGCGTTCAAAGACCTTTAGAACTGTTTCTTTTTGCCGTTGACTATGCCCTTCATTATGTTAACATACCAAGTTGGTCAGACAATTGGCTTGGTAACCACAAGGTTCCAAGTTCAACTCTCTGTGGGCGTTGTCTATTGGCCTTTGTGGTTTGAGCCAATTAGCTCTGGGCAACCTACACGGCGGGCTTTACTCAGAGCGCACCTTTGAGTAGTGGTTGCGGGCTTTCACGTAAATCAAAGAACAATATGAAACTTTTAGGTGGTGAGTGAGAAAACAAACTAGATAAGAGAAATGATGGCCTTAGTCAATGCAACATAACACAATGGATTAGAGTGAAATTATACATTTATACTTCCCTTGGTTTTCATCCTTAATTTAATTGCTCCAGAGCAATTGGACTTTTTTATTTTATCTTCCACTTGTGCATACAAGTTTTTCGAGATCGAAACACGTTGTTTAGTTGCTTAGCATTACATTTTCTGATGCCTATTTTGCAGCAAAAGGGGTTCTCCATCATACTATCTGACATGTGTCCCCTAGTTTCTGGAATAACAACAAGAGATGCAGTTCTATCTGCTGAACTGGGACACCGTGCACTCAACCTAGCCGTTGGAGGGGGAGCTTTGCCTCATTCCGACGATAATGTTCAGCTAGATGGCTCGGTTTCTGCTCTGGGTAACAATGGTGCATTGCAACCCGGGGGCCATCTTGTCATAAAGCTGTTGGAAAGTGAAGAGATTAAGGGTAAGCACAAATGTTATCCCCGTTGGTCATATAATATAATATATAAAATATATAACTGTATAGTCTCACTATCAGCCTAACCTTTTCACGTCGTTCAATTATACCATTTTCAATTTCTTGATACCAAAAACTTTATGTGACTCCATTTAATTTGTTTGTCCACAGAAATTGGTCAGATTTGCAAATCTGTGTTCAGAAAGACATCATGGCTGAGGCCAAAAGCAACAAGGTCGTGCTCAAGAGAGATTTATTTGATTTGCCAAGGTTTGCGCCACTAATGAAAAGCTATAAGTCTTGCTCAACAAACCTCAGCAAATGTTTTGCATTTAATTAAGGTTTTGATAAATTACTTTAACTTTTTTATGTCAATCTTCTATTCTTCACTATGCTCAATCTTCCATTATTCTTCAGGTTTTAGTCTTAATTTCTCTTAGAAGTAGGGGAAAAAAAAACAAAAGAGTTAATATTGGTTTAGTCATTGATTTGATAGCTTTTCCGGATTTTTTTTTTTTTAAACTCATTTCGTCATATTTTTGCATTGACTTTTATTATGTTATCAAATTTAGTCTTTAATTATATAATTTATCTCTGTTAAATCTATGTACACATTTGTAAATTTAAAATGATATCTTCTACCATTCCAAATGGGTGGTCATAGGTTCGAACCCCGTGAGAGCTTAGATTCTTTAGACTGAAAATGTTTGAGAAAGTATAGAATAAATATTATCTTGTAAAGAATTATGAGTATTAAAAAAAAAATGATATCTTGTCAACTGCATCCAATTTTATCCCAATTCATTCTATCAGTCTTTTCTTTCAAAAGTATCGAAAAGACAAAGTTATTAAAGTATTCACAATGACAATTGTTTTTTTCATTAACTGTTCATGAATTTCTTATTTTTATCATGATTTTTTAAAATAAAAAACCAACTCAATAGTCAATTATTTTTTTAAGAAAAGAAAAAAAGTCAATAGAGTCTTAATATTGTCTACTCGATGAAATGTTTTAGTTTATACATGAATAGTTTAGCAATCATTATACCATGAATTATGGTCCACATTATAAGGTGAACTACTAACATACAAATTCATTTTCTAGTATATTAAATGTTCATTTTTAGTATAGTACAAGCTTATTTTTAGTATACTAGCTAAAAAATGAACATAATATTATATTAAAATGAACTTTTGGTATACCAAAATGAATATTTATCAGTGATTCACTTTGTAATTTGAGCCATGGTCTACAATATAATTTATTATTTATTAATAGTCCAATTTAGTCAATCGTTATAATGTGGAACATGGTCCAAATTTAATGTGAATCACTAACATAAATGTCATTTTTAGTATAATGAATATTCATCTTTTAGTAAACTATCTAAAAATGAAACTTTAATACATTAAAAATGATCCATTAGTGTGCTAAAATGAATGTTTATCATTCACCTTGCAATCTAGATCACAATTTAATATTAGTTACCTATAGTTTAGTGGGTTTGATAAATAGGAAATACTCCTACAGATATTGAATGGCAAATTATACTGTAGACAATGAATAAATATTCAATTTTAATATATTAAAGATACATTATTTGGTAGTATATCAAATAATGAACCTTCATACTCAAATAAGGGTGTGTTTGGAAACCCGAAAAATGATTTCTGGAAATCATTTTTCGGGTTTTGGGTGTTTGGCTAGGCTGAAAAATGAATTGTAAAAGGAAAATGAAGAGAAGTCAATGGAAAATGAGCCTAAATTTCTGGAAAATGACTTCCCCTTTTTTTTGGGGGGAAGTCATTTTCCATCTTCTCCACACACTTGCTTACCTTCAATTCTGCCTCCTCCTTCAACGCGGAAACAACTCCATGTCTCCACCAACAATGTTTCCGCCGGAAACATTAATTAGGAAAAAAAAAAAAAAAAAAGCGTGAAGGTGGAAACCAGAGAGAAGAACTTCTCTCTAGTTTCTGCCGTGCTGCCAAACACAAGAAAGGAAAATGTTTTCTGGAAAATGACTCATTTTCCAGAAGTCATTTTCCTGCTTTCCAAACGGACCCTAAGATACTTTCAAAAAATGAACCTTAGTGTATTAAAAATGTACCTTTTGCAAACATTGGGTTATTAGGAGACCCAAAGGCTAAAGGCCCAAAGCCCAAAAAATTGATAAGAGATAGTGAAGACTCCTTACATGCAGAGTGTACATGTCAATTGTTATACTGTGGACCATGGTCCACATAGCTGTGTGGGCTATGATCCAAAAACGCCGTTGTTTAATTTCTTTAAATAAAGAAACGGAGGCGCTATGTTTAACTAATCCCGTATTTATGATGTGCTCAGAATAAAATGAAACTACGGTGTATCTAAAATGAAACTGAATAACATGTTTCACATATTTAATGTATATTGTCAAATAAAACTCTAGTTGAATAAGAACGATATTTTAGTTGTGCTGTAATGAAACTATAGTGTATCTAAAATGAAATTGAATAACATGTCTCATATATTGGGTGTATATTGTCAAATGAAACCGTAATTGAATTAAAATGGTACTTTAGTTATGTACTTGTGCTGTAATGAAACTACAGTATGTATAAAATGAAACTGAATAACATGTCAGTACAGTGTATATAAAATGAAACTAAATAACATGTTTCAGTTTTACAATACTGAGTGTATATTGTCAAATGAAACTGTAGTTATATCAAATGATATTTTAGTTCTGTTGTAATAAAACTACAATGTATATAAAATGAAACTAAATAACATGTTTCACATATTTGAGTGTATACTATCCTAGTTGTGCTATAATGAAACTATAGTGTATCTAAAATGAAGTTGAATAACATGTCTCATATATTGGGTGTATATTGTCAAATGAAACCGTAACTAAAACTATAGTGTATATAAAATGAAACTAAATAACATTGATAGATACCCAATATGTGAACCCGGTTGGACCACTTAAACCCGGTCATACACTTAAGTACTTAACAATCATTATACCCTGCACCACGGCGCACGTAGCACTGTGCGCCCCACGCCTCCCAAAACGACGTCGTTTTGGTAAGTTATGTAGGGAGTTGACGTGATTATGTGTATTTGTTTATACAATTACGTGTATTATACAATTATGTACATTTTTCATACAATCATGTACATCTTTTTTGTACAATTATGTACATCCGAAATGTGTATTATGTTAAGAGTTGATGTTTATTATGTTATTAAAAGTTTATGTATATTATGTATTATCTTTAAAAAAAAATATGTGTATTTTGTTATACAATTATGTACATTCATATATACAATTATGTGTATTTTAGTATAAAATTATGTACATTTTTGAACATGAGATTTTATTATTATTATTATTATTTTACAAAAAATTAACTGTCAACACAGGGTAGCGAAAATTTCAAAAAAAAAAAAAAAAATTTGAAACAGCGTCGTTTTACATCAAGACACACAATGCAATACGCGCCCTAATGCAGGATATAAATTGCCTACACTTAAACCCCTCCATAAAACCCAAAATAAATACCCCTTTGACTCCCCATAATTACCTATTTATTATCCCAAAACCCAAATTAAACTAGCTGTTAACCTCTTTATCAACTAGTAAACGTCCAAATTATTACCCCATGTTAACCTCCAAATTATTACCTCTTAATACCCATTAATCTTAATAAAACACCATTTACTACCTCATTAATCCCCAACGTTCACAATTTTCAGATTATAAAGCCAAGAAAACAACGAGCAAGGGGGGATTCATCTTTATCACATAAGTCTTCCTCTCAACAAGAAGGCTCCATCTTACACCGGAAGAGAACTTTACCACTGTACTCTTTCCACACTAAAAGACTCCATGTTGGCTCTTCCTCTCAACAAGAAGGCTCCATCTTACACCACAAGAATGCTTCATCTTTATGTATCAAATATAGCATTATTCCTACAAAAATATGTACATACAGACTATCCCACAAATTACAAGCAAATATAGTGAAATTCTTAGCTACTTATTTTCCTACTTATCTTTCTATTTTATTAGCCGGTGAATCCACTAATCTACCGGATTGTATTGGATCTCTGTGAGCCCCAAAAGTCCTAAAACTAAATATAGTGAAATTACAAGCAAATATAGTGAAATTCTTGGCTACTTATTTTCCTACTTATCTTTCTATTTTATTAGCCGGTGAATCCACTAATCTACCGGATTGTATTGGACCTCCGTGAGCCCCAAAAGTCCTAAAACCAACAAACATGTTTCACATATTTGAATGTATACTATTTTAGTTGTGCTGCAATGAAACTATAGCGTATTTAAAATGAAGTTGAATAACATGTCTCATATATTGGGTCTATATTGTCAAATAAAATCGTAATTGAATTAAAATAGTACTTTAGTTGTGCTGTAATGAAACTACAGTATGTATAAAATGAAATTGAATAACAAGTCTCACATACTGAGTGTATATTGTCAAATGAAACTGTAGTTATATCAAATGACATTTTAGTTCTATTGTAATAAAACTACAGTGTATATAAAATGAAACTAAATAACATGTTTCATATATTTGAGTGTATACTATCCAATGAAACCGTAGTTGAATTAGAATTATACTTTATTAGTGTTGTAATAAAACTATAGTTTTTATAAAATGAAATTCAATAACAAGTCTCACATATTGAGTGTATAATATCAAATGAAACTGTAATTGTGTAGTAATGAAACTACAATAAATAAATAAATAAATAAATAAATATATATATATATATATATATATATATATATATATATAATGAATTTGAATACGTCATAAAAAACAATTAGTTTGACGAAACGGTCAAACGGGTACCGTTTCTTTTCATTAAAGGAAATGACATCGTTTTGGACCATGGTCCACAGTAAAATTTGTCTATACAAGCTGGGATACTAAGGACTAATTAGGCGACTCACAATTTATCTCCTCCAATGCCGGATTCTGGCTACTTAAGATTAATATATATAGCGTATATTGAGAAACATAATATATCAAAATAATGTAACAAACTTATCTCAGTGGTCCATAATATAATAATTGATAGAAGTATACAATACAATTTTAATTGTGTGTGTGTGTGTAATATATATATATATATATATATATATATATATATATATATATATATTTTGTAGTGCTATTGATGTACTTTGTACTAGGTAAATTTGTACTTTTTCCCTTTTATAACTAACAGGTTAAGTTAAGCCAAGATACTTGAAAATTAATACTACGTAATACATATATGCTTGAGACCATATATAATATTTTGTAAGAAAGATGGTTAGAATCAAACGTTTATCACATCTCAATGGTTATAACTTTTTTTTTGGGGGGTGAATCTCAAAAGATATAATTAGTACCAAAGGTATAATTTTATTTCAATATACTTGCATAGCATACTAGCAATTAACGTTACACACATACACATTTTTGTTTTCAATTTTCACTATTATTGTTGAATATT